GAGCCGTGTGGAGCCGAATGGAGCCGCCCCCGCGGGAACCGCGCGCTCAGAGCCCCGCCCGACCCGCGTTGCTCGGGTCGGGCCGTTCGGATGTGCCGGCGGTGGGCGAGGTTTGTGTGGGGTTTAGGAACGTGAGGAGGCTCCTGGCCGTGTTTTTGTTTTTTTGGTTTTTTTTTTTTTCTGTCGTGGTTGAAATCGTCGTTGGTGGTGAGGTGAGGTGTTTTTTCGCGTGTTGTTGGCGTGTTCTGATTATTTTCCTCAAGGTTGCACGGCAGTTATTACTTGAGCTTTGTAGCTCGCGGGGGAAGATTGAGGTTGGATGTCAGGGGGAAGTTCTTTCCTATGAGAGTGCTGAGGTGCTGGAACAGCTGCCCAGAGAGGCTGTGGGTGCCCCGTCCATTCCTGGAGGTGTTCAAGGCCAGGTTGGATGGGGCCCTGGGCAGCCTGGGCTGGTATTAAAAGTGGAGGCTGGTGACCCTGCATGTGGAATGGGTTGGAGATTCGTGATCCTTGAGGTTCTCTCCAGCCATTCTGTGATTCTCTTAGCCTGATCTAGGATATCGAGGGTAATGGGAGGACAGTTGGGCTAGATGATCTTGTAGGTCCTTTCCATCCTTGCAATTCTGTGATTCTATGGGATAACCTCATAGGCTGAAAAGTACCTCTAAGATCATGAAGTCCAACCATATTTTATTTTGGAATAATCAAGATGTGATTTATATCATTCCTAAGATTTATTTTAAATGGGGGGCTGGAGCTAGATCACTTTAAGGGTCCCTTCCAACCCAAACCATTTTATGGTTCTGTAAATATAGGCCATGAACTATTTATACGTGCAAACTCATAGGTGTTACCTTTTCTATTTCATGTCTCTAACATGTGAGAGTTTACAAAACAGAGTAGGAATACAGCATGAAATCAGAATGTTTGTCACACTGATCTATGGAACAGTTGTTGTCACAGCTGGATGGTTTGTCTGTTTGATCAGCAGCATGTGGTTGCCTGCAAAAGGAAGGTGAGCAGAGCTCAGGAATGGCTTCATGTCTGAGAGGTGGTGAGCAGAGTGAACACCTTGCTCTGCCCCATCAGCTTCTGGCTTTTTGCAAGGCAGGCTGCTGGGGTAAATGGACTCGTGGTCTGATGTTGAATGGCAGTGTTTGTGTCCTGGAATAGTGCTGATGTGACTGTGCTGCTCAGCGTGTGTGTTCTGTTGCTGATTTACTTGCCAGCAGTAGAGTTTTGCTGCAGGTTAGGAAAGTGTGTCTTTAACCACTCAGTTCTTAAGGCTTCTGGTATCAGGGAACCTTTGTAAGAAACCTATCATAAACCAGAAGAAAAAAAAAAATCCATAAAATCATGCAGTGTTGCAAAAGACTCGACCTGTCTTGCAGTTGACAGGCACTGCTGTGCAGCAAAGCTCAGTGCCAAAGTCCAGCATGCTGTTGGTAGCACAGCACCCTTTGGCACGTGCCAGCACGAGGTGTAGCAATCTGCTGCCCAGCTGTATTTCGTAGCTCTCTCAGGAGAAAACTTGGCCAGTCCATTGCAACGCTGTGCTTGGGAATAGCTGGAGAATTCTCACCATAGCTTCAAATCCTAAACCTTTAGAATGATAACTTCTGGATGTCTTATTGTTGGTGATGTGAAAGTCTGGTGAGGAGTTCCTCATCAGAATCGGATGTAGTGATGTGTTTTTTAATTCACTGATGATGTTTGCTGGTTTTCTATTGAATGTATAAATACCTAAACAATGAACTTTGTAAGACCCAGCAGATATCCCCAGTTTCTGCCAGTCAGTTGAAGGCTGCCTTAAAACTGAGTCTGGTTGTTGAATTCAGTTTCTTATAGTTGTTAAGTAGCAATAAAGCCCATGTGTTTACAGGTTTCATGCTTGTTAATTCAGAGCCAAATCCTTTCTGTGCAATTAGACAACTCCTGGGTGGCTGATGATGGTATCTGCACTATTGTTAGAAGATGGCAAATAGTGAAAAGGAAAGGAAGCTGCAGTTAGTGAACCTTTCCCTCATGTGGCTAATTAATGAAATCCTGCAATCAGCTCCCACATTCTGCTGCATAGTGGTCACTTTCACTTGCTGCTTCTTTCCTGCAGGCATTGCAAAATGGAAAGGTGTGGGCAAGCACTGAAATCCCAGCGTGGTTGGTTGATTTGTTTGGAGATTAAAGGCAGTTGTGAATAGATCTCTGTCAGTGTCTCAAGGCTTTATAGCTTTACATACTTAGCTCTTCTTCATTAGCAACTTCCAGTCATGTGGGCAATAGTGTTGCAAGAAAAAAAAATGCATTTATTAAATATCAATTGTCTTGTTGCCAGTATTGCACCTGAACAACGTGAAGTGTGAGTAGTGGGATTCTGGATAACTTGCATGGGGTAGCAGGAAATGCCTTGGGCAGTGGCAATTAATTTGAGTAATTTGTGTGGTAATGTCCAGAGATGAGCAAGATAGTTTCTGGATAGGTAAAAAGACAAGTCGGTTGCTCTGAAGACTTGCAGCGTGGGGAGAAACAAGAAGCAAGGTAGAAGTTCATTATAACTTGACTTTTACTCTGCAACATCTGTTGCAGAACAGGCTTCTGCTGTCTTGTGTTTTTTTGTTTTTAGAGTGTTTCTACATTGTATTATAACATTTTCTCATTTATAGTTAAGTTCAAAAGGAGAATGGGCACAAGGCTGATAAAACTGCTGCTACATCAATCATTTAATTGTTCTGTTTCAAGTCGTGTGACTGTGTCCAGTCTTACTGATGTTTGGAGTTGCATCAAGTCCAGACCCAAATAATGGCCCCTCTAATTGGGACCCTCTGGTCAGTGAGCCTTGCCTCAGTACAGCTGTGCCCCTAAGAATATTTCCTACCCATCTTTTGTGTCTCTGTAAGAAGGCACAGAAGTGATGCTGTTAGTGACAGTATTTACTGGTAACACGTTGCCATCCAAGTAGGGCAGCTCTTCCCACTAGAATGAGAAGCTGCAATGGAAACTGACCCTGCGTGTGCCAGGCATGGGGGATGAAGGCAGGCTGTGCCTCTTTACAGAAGCTTTGTTGGATGTTTATTTAATTACATGCCATAATTTAAAACAAAGCCATCAGTAACCACTTAACCTCTCATTCATTTTACTTCTCAAGTTGCCTAAGAAAGTAGGTTGTTATTTCTGCTGATAATTGTTTGACCTAACCATTCCTCTTCCTTGCAAGATGAGGCAGCTATGAGCTTTCTGAAGACTCTTAGCTTTGCTTTTCAGTGGCATATGTATATATATATATTTTAATCTTGGATTTTATCTATAGTGCCTGTGGAAATATGGAAGGATTTAAATATTTTCTTAAAGAAACAGAAGTTTTAACTCCTCATTATTTTGTTTGCTGACAGGGCAACTTCAGAATGCTGCTGTTTGAGGGACTGTGTTAGCTGGAGGTGTGATACTGTTATACGGCCTGTATTCAGTTGTGTAGGTGTTTAGTGATCCTTTTAAATACTGATGTTGTTTTTCATCATGTTAGAACTAGATTCAGTCTGATACGCTTCAAGTATGAGTTGTCAGAACTCTGCTGTGCAGTTCTGAGTTCTTGTGAAATCACTGGAGAGCTTTTAATGCCATGTGCCATTGTGCTTCTGGGTGAGTTGATCTTCATTCCAGAAATGCAGAACTGACAGCTGCTACGAGAAACTTCAGCTCTCAGGGCTTTCTCTGTGCCTTTCCTCCCCCAGCTCATTCTCATATGTACACTTTAAATATTAAGCTGTATGAGCAAAGAAGTTATCTTAAAATTTCATGGTCTGTTTTAAACCAGATTGAATAACATCTGTCCCAGATGTCTTTTAGTCTGTCTTTTTATGCTCAGTCTAACTGAGTATAACAGTGTATTTTTGTATGTTTGCTTGCAAGTTGGTGGGTTTGGGTTGTTTGCTTTCCCTGGATCTCATTTCCAGTGAAGTTTCCTGACTTTATCACATCAGTGCAGCAGAAGATGCAATCTTTGCAAACGTGCAGTTACTGCTGGCGGTTCTGAAGAAAAATATGAGGATAAATGGGGTGAGTGATGAGTGTGGAGTGAGAAGAATGGCAAATGGGAGAGCTGTTGATTTTGTTTCTGGTCGTGACCTTCTCTGGTTCTGCTGGGAAGTCTTTCAAGTTCAGGTAATATCGGTACAGATACTGTTTTATTCTAGTTTGCTTCTGCCATAGTGATTCTTTAATGATTCCAAATAACCCTACTCCTGCAGGGAAGGTAATGAGAAAATAGCAGAATGTATTTTCTGACTAAAAACACATAATTTACAGTATGTAGAGAAAGGATATTGGCAATTTATATGCTTTTGTTTGTTGTTTTCTATTAAAGATGTGATTCAGTGTGGGCCTGTAACTGAAACAAGCAAGGTAAGCTGTGTGTGACCAACTCACTGCAAGGTGGCAATATTGAGATTTCCATCTTGTTTGTTAGTTAAGTGATGTTTGAAGCCACTGTATTACAAAGCTGCTAGAACTGAACATGCAGCAGTTCTACCTTCTTTTCCCTGTTTACATTTATTGAGAAAAGCATAATACCTCAAACTTAAACCCAATCAAACATCTCACTTAACAACTTCATCATTCTTCACATGCTTACCAGAATAAACTTGGCTTCCCACACGTGGTCAGGAGTATCCAGGAGGACTAGATGATCATTGTGGTCCTTTTCAAGCAGGGCCATTCTATGATCTGACTGCCTGTTGGACCAGGAGGTTGAGCTGTGTGGTGCAGACCTGCTGGTATAGTATTCCTGAATGGGCATTGTACTGTTAGGGCTGGCTGTGCTCTGTAGTGCATTGCTGTTGTACTTTGTACTCACGTTTACCCCAAAGCTTGGATGGGATTCAACCTGTAGAAATCTGATGGCTTGCTTTCTTTTGTTGGCTGTGTTGGTTTGTTTTTTATTGTTGTTGGAGCTTTAAGAGGCTTTGTGTAGACTTGGAATAGAGTAATTATGCTGCTTCCTCTGTTGGAAGGCTGCTGCTCTGCTGTAGGTCACAAATAGAGGTACTTGGACAGGAGGAATGCTTAGAATGGATGTCAGATAGATGGACAACCAGAATGCAACACTGACTCTTGGGATGTTCAACTGGGCAGTCTTAGCAGCCATGTGTGATATTGACCAAAATGCAGTTCAGTTCTAGAAAGTGAATGTGAAATCCAGCAGTCCTGCTTGCAGCTCAGGAGAAAGGCAGGGTGCTTTGTATGCTGGAGGGGTTTGTGTTCGGTCCTCAGGTCTGTGGTGGAGGCATTGGTGGCCTCTACTTCTGCAGTTGCCTAATTTTGTCTGTCCTGGGCTGTTGTTTGCTGTGTTAAGGACACTCATTACTGCCTGAATTGCAGCTTGTTAGAGGGCAGAGAAGGTGCTGATGAGGTAAGGACAGAATTGGTCCGTGCTCACTTGCTGCTCAGAAATGCAGGTGGGGTAAAATGCATGCACAGCCTTTGCTAATGTTCCATTTGGGAACAGCTTTAACAGTTGTTAGGGCTGTCATACATATTAATTAGAGCATCAGAGTAACTGATTGACAAGGCAGCCAAAAGGCAGCAGTGAACTGCAGGTGTTAGAGAACACATGGGAACAGGAACAGCTCAAGGAGAAGGTATGAGAGCAAGCATGATTATACTGAGCTGTGAGGAGCTGAAATCTGAAAAAGAGCAGCTCGGAAACAGCTAATTTGTGCTATCAGGAGCTTTGAGAAGATTTTAGTGTGCTTTCCCCAAAGCATTATTTAATCAATTGTGAGAGTTAATTGACAAAAATGAATGGTTTAAACCATTATGAGAACTATAATGTTAAGATTTTTCTTCAAGAGTAAAAATGCAAATAATTGATTTTTTTTTTTTTTTTTAGTTCATTTTCCATGACATAAGGAGACAAACTCTTTCCTTTTCAAGTCATTCTGAAAAGCATTCCAGTAACTTTGCTCAGATTTCATTGACTGCAGAAAACCCACAACTGTAGTACTGGAATAAAATGCAGAGAGGCTTTGTGTGCAGTGTTGCATTACAAGTGGTGGTTATTGCTGCCTCACCTGTGCACTGGCACCTATTGAAAACTTTGGTTTATTTCAGCAAGGCTCCCTTGCTAAAAGGCACTTTTAATATCCAAAAAAATATTGAATAAGTTGTCAGCATTCCTTTACTTGCATTTGTTTTTTGTTCTTAATCCAGAATCCTAAACATTACAGCTTTGAAACAGTGTTAATGGGAGCTCTGCCTTAAGAAACCTCAGATCAATGTGTTCTTCAAATGCTTCTTTAATCTTTGGATGTGGACTCTGTCTTTAAAAAGTGCTTTTACAACTATGGCTGTAATGATGTATGTGTAGATTTAATAATGAAAGAACTGCATGACACAGGGTTTGGTGGCTTCTTGTCACAGCAGTCATGAGCCGTCAGGGAGCGCTGCTTATCAAAAAGCACTTTTGAATTCTGAGGCTATAATTCAGCCTTAGAAAAATGCTCAAATATATCATGTTTTCTGCTGGGGCTACAAAGCTGTAGGTGGCTTATTTATGTAGGACCTCTCGGGATGTTTTTTGGTCTACAAATCCTGCACTGGAAATAAGAGTGTGGAACTTTCTTGTTACTTAAATAAAGCTTTTGTATCTCTGAGATTGTGAACTGCTGACTTACATATTTTTTCCCCCTCCTCCTTTCTAACAGGAACAGGAAGGTGGTCGATTACTCCCAGTTTCAGGAATCAGATGATGCTGGTAAATGACTTTGTTCTTAACGATATAATATCCTTGGGCTTACAGGGGTTCGTTTAAGGCTTTGCATATTAATTACATTGCTTCTAGTCACATCTTTAACCTAAATTCTGGGGAGTTTCTACTCTGCAGTCTCTGAACTGTTAACGAGCATTTGAAAATATAATGGTTCTCATATGTTTTGTATTAAACAAACAATGGTGATAGAAATCTTGTTATTTAACGCTTGTATTGTTGTAGTGCCTTCAGGCTGTTGGCAGCAACCATCTTCCTTGCTCTGTTATGTTCTGTGGCAAAAAAAAACAACAACCCTGGTGCTGCTTTTTTTTTTCCTATAGTTAAATGTGTTTTCAGTTTTATTTGGTGGGCTTCAGTTAATTCCATCATGTTGGGCATAGTTGTGAATTGCACCTAAACAACAACAAAAAAAAACTTAGCATATTCTGTCAGAATTAATGAAATATTTCTGGCAGCCATATGGAATATGTTTTGTGTTCTTAGAAAATAGATGCACTGCTACTGTTTCCTAAGGGTGGTTACACTGATAATTATTGGAAACAAATATGCCCTGCTGTATTGTATAAGGTATTGTGTAATGCTCTGTTTCCATCATAGGGCAGTAAATAAAGTTGTTGCTGTTAAAAGCATACAAAGATATGAATAGATATTAACCTCCAATAGGTTTCCGTAATGGTTTGTGTTCCTAATGAGCTGTACAGTTAAGATACCCCTTTTTCTTCTGAAGCATTTTGTGTGTTTCCCAACACTTCTGTTTCAGATTTGGTTGTGTGCAGTGCTGTTATTGTGCTGTTGGCAGAAGAAAAGGTAAATCAGTAGCTGAAGGCAGGACTTCGCTTCTGTAAAGCTTTCTTTGTAACTTTGTGGTTTTATCTTTTTTTTTTCTTTAAGAGATACTTTTTATGTGCTTGAAATGGTCAGCTTCAGCTGGCTGAGGAAGTCATTTTGCTGGGAAGTAGGAGTTTGATTCAAAACCATTTTGTACTGTCCCATCTAGATGAAGATTATGGGAGAGATTCAGGTCCCCCATCCAAGAAAATCCGCTCATCTCCCCGAGAGGCTAAAAATAAGAGGAGATCTGGGAAGAATTCTCAGGAAGACAGGTAAAAGAAGCACTTCATCTGTTAAGAACATGTCTCCAAACCTTGTCCTGTATGTGGGGAGCTGTATCTTCTAAGAGGAGTGATTGTAAGTGGAATTCAAAATGTGCAATGTAAGATACAGAGCTCTTGATCACAAAGCTTTCCTAACCAGCTTGGACATTGAGGTGGTTCTTTTTTATTGAAGTTGGCAGGGAAATCATGTGTAAAGTACTTGTCACTAGCACTTTGGCATTAAAATGGCCTTCCAGAGCTATACAATTGGAATGGCAAGGAACTTGATACGAGTTACAAAGATTGGCAGCTGGTGCAATTTTCTCCAGGTAAGTTAGCGGCTGGGTGCCTTTCATTCTCTGTGTTTTTTCAGTGTGCTCAGAGCATTTATGTGTTTGAAGATTAAATAGGGCAGGTACGGTGACTGTAGTAGTAGGGGCCAGTTGTTAGTTTTGCAGCTCTTTGGTTTTTTTTCACTTCATATTTTGTCTAGTTCAGAAACTGAGTAACTCGTTTTGATACTGAATTGCTGTGGCAATGTGAAATGTCTGCATTCTAAGTGATCCCCTGCTAACAGTGGAAGTCCTTCCTGTAGAGTGAGGGTATCTTGCGTTTACAATAGCTGTGATCCGCAAATGGTTGCTGTAAGAAACATGATAAAAAGAGACCTATTAAATCAATTGACTGCTTTCAGGGACGGAGGTTCTGCCAGCTGGTTATCTCTTAACTGTCTTGCATTGTTTGGTGGAATATAGCTAACTTACCACAAGGTATGCTTAAGATGTTTCTCTCCATCTCTCTCTCCCTTAATGTTCCTGTGCTGTAAGGTGGAAACTGAATGTAGGCATGAGGGAACATTTTTACTTACAATTATAAACTGAGAGGGCAAGGCCATTTTCACTGTGGCTTTTAGTTTTCCCAAAGATGTGAACTTCATGTTTTCATATTTTGAAATGGTTTCAGGAAAGAAAAGCCAAGCGATCATTTCCTGCTGTTGCTCTTGACTTGTGTTGCACTGCTTTGACACAAATGATGGGTAAAAAATTTAGTGCAGAACTGATGTTATTCAAGTACTTCAGGTATCTAACTACATTAATTAATTGTGGCCCAGTGTAGTTCATCTGTTGCTTGGCAGATTGCTGCGGCTTGCTTAGACCAGTGTGTTTGTTCTGCTCGTGCAATGCTTAAAGAAATTCTAGAGGTCAAACTTCTAGATAACACCCAAAAAAGATTTTAGTAGATAAGATGTTATATAAAGAAACTGGGCTAGGGAGCTCCCAGAGCAACTAAATAGTTGACCACAATGTCCTATTAACTAAGGTGATATTTAAGTATGTAAGAACACTTCTGTTTGTATTACAAGCATTGCACAGAGTCTGAATGTGAAACAAATGCACGTATTGATTTGAAATCCACAGTTGTCCATCAGACTGAAATCAAATGGGCCTGAGGGACTAGAGTGTAATATGTTATCTAAACTATGGATATTCTTGAGCAATGTTATGTGTTAGCTCCAACTGCCTAACCTGGACAGTAAAAATGACAAGTGATAGGGATTTGGGTAAGAACAGAAGCAGCAGTACCTACTTGATGGGACAGTCTCTAATAAGGACTGAAACCACTGTAAGGGATGGTGAAAGTCTGTCAGAGATCAGATTGGGAGCTTGCAGACCAAATATGTTCTAGTTGACTGGTTAGACAGAGTGAAGGTTTCCAAAGAAAACAATGAGAAAAAGATAAGGGACTTCATTACACGTATAGTCAGAATAAAACTATATTCCTTTTAATAGATTTGACCATGTATTAGCATATGTAACTTCAAAGTCCTAACTGTAAAATGGAAGACATCTGGATTATTAGTGGACTCTGGAGAAAAATGCATGGGTTATCTTATCCTTATTTCCTGGTTGGTTTCCTTGGCACTATGTGATACAGAGTTTGAACTTTCTTTCCAACCATAACTACATATGCTTTTGAGTAATGCTAAAGTATAATGTGGTAATGTTCAGGAAAAGTGGGTATTCTTGGCCTAGAAATCAATCTGCTCTCTGAAAATTGTTATTCTCCATATAGCAAATGACTGAAATAGGAGTTAAGCAATCTTTCCCTCCTTTTCAGTGAGGATTCAGAGGAAAAAGATGTGAAGACTAAGAAAGATGATTCGCACTCAGCAGGTAACTAACCGTGCTGCACTGATAATGTTATCTTCAAAATAAAGACCAATCTGTAAGAATATTACAGGAGTAAGATCTGACACACACAAGAAGTTCTTCTGTTTAGAGAAGAATGCACTTTTCTAACATGTTTATCTTAAGCTGGATGCTGCCTCTGCTGCTTGTTACTTCCAGCCCTGGTTGGGGATAGCAGATGTGTTTTGTGTAATGTGATGCTGTTATAAATCCTCGCAGGTAGAGAGGTGGATGTTCATCTCCTCCCTGGGATTCTCATCTGTTCCATGGTCATAGAAGAAGCTTAATATTCTCACTTTTTCCTTCCAGATGAAGATTTTGGCAGTGAAGATGATGACTTAGGAGCAGATGATGGCAAAGCTGACAGTGACTATGAGAGTTCTCAAAAAAGCAAAAAAGGAAAGAAGGCCAAACCAGATAAGAATAAGAGAGCCTCTAAATCCAGGAAAAGGCCTGCAGGTAAAGAAACAATTGCAATAATAATTCTAATTTTTGAGAAAGTTGTTCAACAAGTATGAATATTGATTGTTGTATTCATTCCCTGTATTGCATTGCAGTAGTTCTGTACGGCATATGTGTTTACTCATTACACATATTCTATAAAATAGGCTTTTGTCTGTCCACTCACTGGCTGATGAAGATGTGCTGGCCAGTATTTTCTGTCTTCATTATAACACGATGACTTTGTGCTGCAGAGGACAGTGAGGATGAGAAAGAAGACCACAAAAACGTGCGTCAGCAGAGACAGGCAGCATCCAAAGCAGCTTCCAAACAACGAGAGATGCTTATGGATGATGTGGGTAGTGAGGAGGAAGAACAAGAGGATGATGAGGCACAGTTCCAAGAGAGTGAGTAAATGGGATTGTACTGACAAGGTCGTAAAAAGTTTAAGCCCTGGTCGTATGGGCAGTAGTACCAGGTGTAGGTTGATGGGTCTGGCCAAATAGAAAAAGGAGTGGTTTCCTTTTTGACTTGACAATAAAGATTTAAGTTATTCTTTTTGGTGCTTACTTGTTAATGAATACCTGCCTGTCAGACTGTCAATTTTTGACATTTAAAAATTTTGTTCTAAGTTTGCAGCAAATATGGAATTCTTTATAAGCAACACTTGAGGAGCACTGGAAATTTCTTAATGTTTTTTGCTGCTTCATGTTACCTCCATCAGTTTTTGAGGCATTGGTGCTACTTTTCAGCTGATGGAAAAAATACTTTATCCTTGATTGATCAAGTAGAACAGTTAGTTTCACAAGGAGAGATGAATTCAACCAGTAGTGAACGACAGTAAGTTGTTTTTTTTTTTTAAATAGTGGATGCAAATGTAATTTCAGAAGGGAGTAAGATTATCATCACAAATCCATTTTTTTTAATGGATTCCTTAGTATGGGTCATTTCAAGGTTCTGAAAATGGTCACCTGTTCTGTCATACTTTATCCCTACTACTGTGAAATCTGAGCAGGTGGAAGCTCATAAGGTCACAGCATCTTTAGTTTTCTGACTTTTCTGTTTAACTTGTTTTTTGTTGGTTTTTTTTTTTTGCTTCCTCTCCTTGTCTTCAAGAACTTAATTTTGTTATTGTTTCAAAAGATTCAGGAAGCGATGAAGATTTTCTCATGGAAGATGATGATGATAGTGACTATGGCAGTTCAAAAAAGAAAAATAAAAAGGCCTCCAAGAAGTCCAAGCCAGAGAGGAAAGAAAAGAAGATGCCAAAGCCCAGGCTAAAGGCTACAGGTGAGTCTGTGCAGAACTGTGCAGTTTAATTTAGAGACTAGTACTTATTTTAGTACTTATTTATTGAAGATTGAGCAGAAGTTTTGGGGCCAGTAGGCATTACAGTATGATGTTGAAGGAGTATTTCTTGTAAGTAGTAACTTACCGTGATTTAAAGTAACACAGTGAAATGATAATGTCTTGAATTCTTACTTAATAAAGAGATTGAGTTAGTGTTCATGTATCACTGACAAAACCTGTGTTGATTGTGAACATCTACTGGTATGTTGCAGTCTGACATTCTGCATCTCATGACCAATCAATGTAATTTGTGGCTTTCTTTGGGTTTCTTGGTCATGAAGATGTTTTCAGGGTGGAGGAGCTAGCAGTGCTCATTCAGTTCAACTTCAGTATTATGGAATGAATATAATGCCATGGTCGAAGCAAAATGAGACCTGCTGCTGTAGTGTCTTGTAAATTCTGTTTGTATAAAGGCAAGTCACTTTCTTGTTTTGGTAGCTAATAATAACTTTTTTCTTTTTGCAGTGACTCCCAGTCCAGTGAAAGGCAAAGGGAAGGCAGGCCGCCCCACAGCTTCCAAGACAACAAAAGAAAAGACCCCATCCCCCAAAGAAGAGGATGAAGAGCCTGAAAGTCCTCCAGAAAAGAAAAAATCAGCCAGCCCTCCACCAGAGAAGTCAGGGGATGAGGGATCTGAAGAGGAAGCACCCTCTGGTGAAGATTAAATGGCAGTTGAGGATATCTTTGTTTAAAAAAAAAAAAAAAAAGAGAGAGAAAAAAGGAAAAAGAAAACATACTTAGGGGTAGAACACGGTTTTGGCTGTGGCTTGACTCATGGGCTTTGAATGCTGTCTTTACTTTCAGCTGTTTAATACAGTGTATCCTTTTTTTAATAAGAGGAAACCCTCATACAGTAATATTTTGAAGTCACTGTTCTCTGTTGGCCATTCCGTTCTCCCTCCCCCTCCAAATCCTAAAGCCATTTGGGACAAATTGACAGACCATTTGAATATATATTTTTTTCAAGGGATACTGCAGTTGTGAAGCAATAAGGTTTGGGACTGATAAATGGAAACCACACTCACAAATCACTGAATAGAATAGATTTCCCAGTGCTGGTAAGAGTTCTTCAAAACTATAATTCTGTATTTGAATACGTGGTTAAAAAAACAAACAAACCAACCATGCTTTAATAGACTTTTCTCAATAGAAGTACCTTCTCTCAGAAAAAGAAAAATATATATATAAACTGCAAAAGAGGAAACATGGGGAGGAAGCCTGTGTTTCTTGGATTCATGCAACTTTTTAATGGAAAGCAATCAAGAGACTTATAGGGGGTCCACTATCTTTTATCTGGAAAAATCCTCCAGTTAGGATGCAAGCTCTTTCATCTTTCCTGGATAGAATACTATTCTGCTTAGGCAGATCTCAGTTCATTCTATACTATTTCAGACACACAACCTAGAAGCTGCTCACATCCACTAATTCTGTTTTACTTCTTCCAGTGTTGGCTATAGATGGGCAGAATAGGGAAGAGAAATTTTGAAAACAAGTTTTAAAGCTCTGGTTTCCAGTTGACATTGTGGAAATTTTCTTTAGAATTCCAAGGGAAAAAAATGATGGACATTATAGAAGTAGATACTTTTTTTTTTTGTCTTTTGGGTTGAGGGATGTCCTTTCATAAATGTGAAGCAAAGGATTCCTGTAATGCTCTGGTCAGTCTCGGATCCCATGAGTCACGCTTAAGTGCTTCTCTTCTCTCCACCATCTGTCCTCAGAAAGGCTGTGTAATCATGTCTAAGCCTCTCCAGCTACAGTGTTGGACAGTAGACTTTCATCAATAGTGTACACCACCCCAGTACCACTTCCATTTCTTCATCCTCCCGTCCTGCAGTATGGGAGGATTTATTCATTCTGCTCCCACACTGACATGTCTGCCTCTGTTGGTTGTCGTTCTGTTCCCTAAGCCTAAAAAGCGTGGAGTAGGGAACAACATTAAAGGATGAAGCTGAGAGGAAATGAAGTTTGAAAACAGTGTAGCAGGGCTATAGTTTTATAACAAAAGCAGGATGTCCCTCTAAACATGAGATACTTGAGGTGTGTGTAGTGGCATTTTAATGTGTTTTTATCAAAGCAGCCATATCCTTCTTTTTTTTAAACTTAATTGAAGTACACAAGCCTTGGTTTTCAAACCCTGATGCAGAGATTGCTGCCATGTTTGTTGGTGGAAATATTAAAAACTGGATCTGCCATTTTTCTTTCTTTTTTCCTTAGACCCTTTGTGCTTTTGTATGTTGCTCACAGTTACCTTACAGCTGACAAGCTTTGCATCTCTTTTTTTTTTTTTGTCACTGAAGTACATATTTTGTAACCAGCCTCTTGAAGGTAACATAAGGCAGCTAACTAGTTGGATTTCTGGTGCACGTGCTACCAGATTTTTAATCTTGTTTGGACTTCAGAGAGCTTTTAGATGTGATACACTAATATGACCAGGAAGGACACTTGGCTGAATGGCAGAGGGAGCCCGAAGATACTGAGCACAGTGTGGAGCCTATACCACAGAATGGAACATTAATATAACGGCCAAGTGATTGTCTTGTGTGATTCATAGCCATGGATTTTAATGAGGCTGGTAAATTACTTTACCTTGGCTTATAAAAATTGAAGTTCTCTAACATTCTTTACTTTAATGAAACTACTGTTGCCGTTACAATAAAGATGATCAGTGTTTCCATTGTAAATCTTTTTTTTTAACCTGGCTTAGTTTTGCAGAACAACTTAAGGCTGGAGTCAAGTATCAGTCTTCGAAAAGAGGTGAACATACTCCCCTTTCCTCCTCATCAACTTTTCCCATCTTCTGGGAGGGTTGAGCCTCTTGCATCCCCTGCACTCCTAGCTCAGCATTTCTTGGGTAATACGGGAAAACAATGGCCAAATTTCAAATAATGTCTGGATTGATATTTTTGGGGGTAGTATATTCTTTCCTTAGTGTCTGGCCCACGTAGTTTTTCCCCCTTCAGTCAAGATTGTGTTTCAAGTTATTCTAGTCTCTTTAGGGTCTTGATTTATTTTTTGGTATTGAAATGTACAAGGATCACATAAATGTAGAATACCTCTAGTTGATCTAATCACACAGCTATTTCTTTACCTGCTAGACCAGATTTTTTTCTGAAGAGTGTATTTTGTAAGTTCCACTTAAGATATATATTTGTGTTGTTCTTTTTTAATTTTCCTAACACGGTTAACTTAAGTTCAGGCTGTGAAAAATGCATTTCCGTTGTTTTCAGTTCAGGTTTTGGACTGCACATTATTTTATGCCTGGTGATTTTGGCCCTTTCTCTTGTAAAACTTCTGTTTTCTCATACATTCATCTCTAATGGCTGTCACGGGCTGCATGATGCTATCTTTGAGTTTGTGTCACAACCCAAACACTATGTAAATCCTGTTCTACTACTGGGATTTTGTAACATTTTCTGTAGCCTTACTGTTTTGCTGGTTTGTGCAGACACTAAGCCCTAATGGTCTCTTGGTTACCCTGTTAGAAACACCGCAGTTTATATTTTTACAGATGGAAGAAAATTGTGAAGGTTAATACATAACTTTTCTTTTTAGTACACGCTTTTCAATAGCAACAGAGTTAACGTTTTGAAATGTCCTTCTAAATTAATTTGTATTTTAAGCATTCTGGTTTCTTGAAGGAAAGCTGTTTTAAAAAAAAAAAAAGAAAGCCTTTCTCTAGAGATGTGAATAGTCCTCCAAGGAGCAGAAAGCTTCATTCACAGAAGAAAGCTTTGAAAAGATTGTCTTCTGTTAAACAGCTGTAGTTGTGGAGCATTTGCAGAGAGGTAAACAGGTTTATTCCAAAGTTCAGTTAATCTTGTGTCCTGCCCTGGTCTCACACTTAAAGGTTTGTTATTAATTTCTATTCTGCATCCCTCTGTACATTCTGTTTTACATTTGTATGCAAAGAATACTGTCTTTAACTGGCCACAAGGCTTGATCAGTAAAGATTTGCAATTGTGGTTGGAATTTCATCCTAAAGATTACTCGTTCCAGTTTGTATTTGATCAGCATGAGAGCACCAAACGTGTCAAGCTTAGATGGGTTTCAGCTTAGATGGCTTGTGGGTGAGAGCACTTAGAAATATGGCAGCCAAGAAACTTCTAGTTCTGTTGTGTTAACTTCAGCAAAGCAAAGGAGTGCATGGGGAGGGAAGCAGTACACCTTACCTAAATGCCAGGTCATGGCTCTGAACGTGCTCAGCTCCTGTGCCACCACACAACTGCATCTGCAGGTGATGAACTACCAGGGCAGTGGCAGAAAATGCACTTGAATTTCTTTTTCTTTTTTTTTCTTTTTTTTTTTTTCCCCCTCCACTGTTGATGGTCACAAAGGTACAATAGACACTGAGGCACCCAGGTTAAGGAGGGAGGGAAGTAAACTGTAACATGCTGGAAGCTTTTGAGCTGTAGAAACTGGTGCTTTGCTTTATGTAATTTGTTTGTGAAGTGTTTATTTTTATAACAGATCATATTGTTGAACACATGGTTCTTAAAAACCACAAACTGATCCATGAGTTTAAGTATTTGAGAAGTGGAAATTCATCTGTTGGGGGAGGCAGGATATGAAAAATGTAAGCAGATAGCTGTGTAAAGGGACACTGTCACAAGATAGTTGCTGGCATATAGGATGCGTTAAGTTGGGGGGGTGGGTGGGGTCCCATCTATATGTGGAAATTATATATTCTATATGTATATGATCAAATAGAAAATTTTCCCTGAACTTTGAATATTTTCCTATAGTTTTGGGAGGTTTAAATACAAATGATGTGCATGGAACTGGGCAATGAAGCTGTTCTGTTCAAAATGCTGAGGAATAGGAGAGCTCTGAAAGGTGACAGTGTCCTTTCGAGTCCCCAGATTGAGCATATCCTCATTTTTAGACTTCCCATGTCAGTAGCAGACTGGCATCTGAATGTCTTTTCACTGAACTCTTTGTATTAAAAACAAAACAACGTTTCTAAAGTCTAGTCAAGTTCTCACTTACGTGCTGACTCTGCATCAACCACTATGGGAAACAACTGCCTGCCCCCTCCAGCTGCAGTGAGTCGAATGGGTCCATCGGTCTGAGCATGCTCAGTGTGACTGCAAAACACCATTGTGCATATGCTTTGTATATTGGGGCAAGGGGTTTTTTATATATATATTTTGGGAGGGGTAGCGGGTGGGATGGAGAAATAACTCAATCGACTTAAGCCAGAATAATGTGTGTAAAAGCCCCCGAAGTATTTGGTGTGTGAGTGCGCGAGTGTGAGTGCGCGCTTGGGAGTGTCTGACATCTTTATTCCCTTTGTGTTCTGAAAATTTGTGAGTTTTACATTTTATTTTATTTTTTTTTTTCCTGCAGAAGCAATTGTTAACAAACAAACAAACAAAAAAATTGTAAATAAGAGCTACATGACTTTCTCCTTTTGTTTAACCATGAACATCATGTCACAGCAAACCCTGAATAATGGCTCTGAAGGTAGAGAAGGAAGAGACTCCAGGTAGGGCCTCGGGCCTTTGGCTTTTCAGCGAAGCATCGTTATATGGTATGCAACAAATACTTGTTCGGAGTATTTGCAGTCCCATGTTGAGCTTTTCTAAAAATCAGGCTCTTTGCAGTTAACCCTCCTTATCCCTTTTAATATATATATAATTTTTTTTTTTTTTTAATGTCAAGAGTGGCCAGAAAAAGGGGCAGCTGCCCCATGGTTGGGGTGTGCGCAGATGTGGCTCCCATCGCTGGGCCCGATAGGGTTGGCAACTTTTGCAATACCTTGACAATACTGAGCTCTACAGCATGGTACTAGGAGTTCTGTTTGAATGTAACATTAATGCTTTATTTAAAATAAAAACAACACTTTTTTTTTCTTTTTTTTTCTTTTTTTTTTTAAGGGGTTGAAGTGAACATGACTGTTGACCATGTTCGTGAATTTATAGATGCAACATTCATTGGTAGAATTGTGTGATGGTCTTTTGTGCTACTTAATTTGACATATTCCAGTCTCTGTATGTACCTGCAAAGAAAGAAAAGTTTAAAAAAAAAAAAAATAACAAAACCCTGCTTTGCTTTTATTGAAGGGTTCCCAGGACTGCATACCTGCTCCTGAGCTCTGTTTTAAGTATGTGTATCCTTCGCTTGTATTTTGTATTAAAAAAAAAACACAAGGAAAAAGAACCCTTTATTGTTCAGCATGTTGGAATTGTGTCCCCTCTTTTATTTTTTCTCCTTTTTGGAATATATTAAGCAACTCATTCTTCTGTATCTTTTATTTTCTTTTGTAAACTTTTTGGTTTTGTTTAAAAATGGCTTTATAAAAGGGCTTTTATAACCCATAAACACGACTTGTGTAATTTTTCTGCTATCCAAGGGTATCGCTGTTCTGCGGTTGCTTTTTGCTTTGTCAATGCTAGTGAGCTGTGTGTTCCTCTTTCCTGATGTCTCGTAGATTGTTTTGGGATTTGTTCCTTTGCAGACCTTGTGCTTCTCTCTGAGGAGGGTGAGTCAGGTTTTGGTCAGAACAGTTTGGCAAGTATCCTTCCCTGTTACTACCTATAAGTTGAGAGGATGTAAGGAATTAAGTCATCTTGGCAGCTAAGAAAATTGAGGCTGTCAAGTTCAAAACCTAATGAAGCCCAGTTACAAGGAGACAAAGCCCTTTATTTGTCATCCTTGCTTCTATGAGCTTTCCCTTAGCAATTAATAGCCTTTCTATTTTGCCACGTATGCCCCAGCAGTGAGAGTAAACATACAGTTCATTATCTGGGGGTGTCAGATAACAGCTGCATTCATCCTATATGTACACTTTGGCTTAGTTAGATAGAGGGCTGTCAGTTCACGTGCAGATAGATTGACCCACAGTGCTGATTGCATTCTCAGTGCATCATCACGTGCACTCGGGTTATCAGACATAGCGAGCTTGCACTTTTAAAAGATGGGTTATAGCAGATCCTTGTCTGAATTCCTGCGGAACTTTGCTTTTAATTAGCAGCTGGTTTAAAAGCACTTCTAAATTCTTGGTGGTCCCTGGGGATGGATCAACCCCCTTCACTCTCCAGCTCTGCCAGTGGGAGCTCAGGCCAGCAGCAGAGGGCGTGCATGGACCTCTGCAGTGCACCCGAGGATGCTTTGAGCATGCTTCTCTTCCTCCTCTGTCCAGTATGAGATGGAAAACACTTTGGCGTTTGTTATAAGCAGTGCTAAGTGTCAGCTAACAGTGTCTTGTCATCAAAAGTTCTACATCTTGCTATTTTGTCTGCATTTTGCTTGTGTATCTTTTAAAACCTGAAGTTACGGTTCATCAGTATAAAGACTGTAAAGCATCTGTTCCTAATTCCTTTTAGGATCCCAGAAGCAGCTTCATCATAAGGGACCCAGTTTTTCTAAGGGTGTGTTATGGCAGAACACTCAAGCTTGTGATCTTACATCTCAATGCATCTTGTACATACCTGATTCAGCAGCATGCTTAACCATAAAGGGTGCTATGGTGGCTCATCCATTTGGTGACGGATGCAATTGCACAGGGAACCAATTTGCTGTTTCCATCAGTTGCAGCAAATGATGCTTACTGTGTGTGTTTTCAGAGGTTGTTAGGGAAACTCTGTGAGCTACCCTCTCTGTTGCTCAACTCTTGTGAGCTTACTGCCAGCTATAAGCTGGTGCTTGGCTGCAGCTTCTGTTTCTCTACCTGACTTGGTTATTTTCCTCCATAGTGTGATAAAATGAGATTCTGTATCAATGGAGTGTTTTAGTAATGCAGCTTATGGCATTCCTCCCTTTTCTTTTTAAACATACTGGGCACTTAACCTCATTGCTATGGTATCTGCAGTTGTACACTGCATTTGTGTCACGGATGTTTTTTATCTGGAGCAGATATAGCATTACCTCTAGGTACTACTGCACTGCTTCAGCTTTTGATTAATTAGAGATGGAATTAGGAGGTGTGGCACTTACTTTGTCCCAGAAAGAACTGCTTAGTATGAAATGGTGCAACGCCAGGGTCTGTGAGCTCTCCTTAAAGAGCTGCTCTTCCCCACTGCCCCGGTCTTTGTGCGTATGATTATGAGCTTAAGCCCCTTTGTTCATCAGTATTGATCTTTTGAACCTGGTATATTTACTGACTGCTCAGCCAGCACAAGTTAAAAGTCCCCATTGGCTCTGAAGTGGTATTTACAGGGTATTAATACAGAACCAAACGATTATTTGTCAGTTTTAAAGGATGTGCAACTGAGAAGTAGGCACGTAGGGTTTTGTAACTGCAGCAAGCACGACCAACCAGGGGGATAAGATTCCCTTGGCAAAGAATAGTAGCTGTGAAGTCTTAATCTGAGAGTTTTGCCTTAAGAATATACTGTTTATGTTTCTTTTGGTGGTGCTCGATTATAGGATGGAAATAAAGTCAAAAGGTGGAGTTCAAGATATTTGTTCTGCTGCCCAACATATTTTGGCCCTACAGGTGGCCTTGAAAGTGCATAAGTGAGATGAAGTTGATGTGATTTTTGTTGCTGCCATTTTTGTTCTTACTAATCTTGTGCATCAGAGGAAACCTGGGAGAATTGTGGAGATGGAGAGATTCCTGTACGTTAAGAAACATATTTTAGGTATGGTTTTTATACAGCGAACCACAAAAAGAACAATTCTTCTTTCTTGCACCGGTGTTTGGGGTCTGTGCCCCCATGCAATATGGTAAACGAAGTCTAACAAGATAGCTGCCCTGTAGGAGCTGAGGTTATTTGT